ATTCTGTCCTCTGCTTGGAAAGTTCTTCCACACATAATATATGTGGTTAACTCTTACCTACTTCAAATCTTTGCTCAAATGTCAACTTTTCAATGACTTTTATCCAGACTGTTCAATTTAAAATCGCAAACCTATCAACACCACATTATTCTTACTTTCACTTTATTATTTTCCTGACAAGTGTGATTTTACCACTTCTAGCATGTTACATAATTTAATGAAATTTATTGGTCATCTGTCTCTAAAGACTTGTGCATCCCAAGTGATTAGAATGGTGTCTGATCAAATATCATACATATCATGTATCACTTATATGCAAAACCTAAAAATAGAAAAAATGAATTTATAAATCAGAAAGAGAACAAATTTACAGTTACCAGTGAGGAAGGGCAGTGAAAGCTGCTCAGTCGTGTCTGAGTCTCTGCTACCCCATAGACTATACAGTCCATGGAATTCTCCAGGCCAGAATACCGAGAGTGGGTAGCCATCCCCTCCTCCAGGGGATCTTCCCAACCCAGCGATTGAACCTGGGTCTCCCGCATTGCAGGCGGATACTTTACCAGCTGATCCACCAGGGAAACCCGGGAAGGGTAGGGGTACGTACAGACTGGGAGCTCAGATCAACAGGTACACACCGCTATACTTAAAACAGATAACTAACGAGCACCTACTGTATAGCACAGGAGCTCTGCTCGACATTCTGTAATAACCCAAATGGCAAAAGAATTTGAAAACGGATGTATGTATATATGTAACTGAATCACTTAACTGAATCACTTTGCTGTATACTCAAAACTAACGTAACACTATTAATCAACAATACTCCAATATAGAATTTTTAAAATTTGAAATGGCATCTAGTATATAATGAATTAATATATTTCATATGGTGGATGTTCAGTACATATCTGAGTACAGGCCACAAAATACTACATTTACCATGGATTATTAAGGTGCTTAACCAGAGCATGAAGCCTATTATTTAGTTGTCAGCTCTGCAACTAACATGATTTGTACACCAAAGTTTTAACAGGGGTTATCTCTGGAAGGGAAAATTGTGGTAGTGGTCAAGGGGATCTTTATTTGTAATATGACATATTTCTCCCCAAAGCTTACTGCTTGTATAAATGAAATGAATAGAAATTTTAAAACAAACCAAAAAATTAAAAGATTCTGAAAGCAACACATAGGAAGAAAAGTAAAAGGGAGTAAGATTTTCCAATCTGAAGACAGAGAACAATTTCAAAGGTAGATTAATAGGAAAAAGTGAAAGTGTTAAGTCACTCAGTCTGTCCAACTCTTTGTGACTTCACAGACTGTAGCCCATCAGGTTCCTCTGTCCATGGGATTCTCCAGGCAAGAATACTGGAGTGGGTTGCCATTTCCTTCTCCAAGGAATCTTCCCAACCCAGGGATTGAACCTGGGTCTCCCGCATTGTAGGCAGACTCTTTACTGACTGAGCCACCAAGGAAGACTAGATTAATAAGAAACGGACTTAAATACAGTATTAAAGTTGGTGCTTACAACTAACTTAGAATAGAAATAAGATATTCTGAAGACATAGGCTAGATTTTTAGAAAGACTTGGTCCTGCCCAAGTGATAAAAACTCATGACCCATTTAACTCCTGTGATCCTGTAATGCCTAAAAATTCAAATGGGAGATGAGGAAATTAAAGTTTAATATTAAAATGTTGCTTTAACAATTCTGCCGTAACGCTTTTCCCCTCAAAAATAGAAAACTGAAGGGGCATGAATCAAAACAAAAAATGTTTGAAAATTCAAATGTTTTTATTAGTATCATTACCAAGTATTTTAACTGGCTTACCTCTCTTTCCCCTTTAAGTCTAGTATATCCAATATTGCTTTATTAGATTGTGCATATATTGTAGTAAGTAAAGTCTGCTTGGTCTAGGCCACAACTGAACAGATTACAATTACAAACCAGTAAAGAAAAATAAATCCACTTCAGTTAGAATATAGTATGATTGTGTCAAGCCTCAATTAACATCAATATACCAAATTTGATGGTTGATCTAATAATCAGAAAAGTGTATTTTTGTTTCAGGTACTTGAGATTTTTCCACATACTTTTTTTTTCCATTAATGCTTTTTCAAAAATAAGTTTACATGGTTTTTCCAAAAAGATGTATGAAAGATACTCTTCCAGTACATCAGAACAAAGCCAAGAGCAGGTCTGTATACTTCATATCATAAAATGGCCTATTTCAAGTTTAAAAATATGGTCAAATTATCTTTTCCATTTGTATTTTAGTGTTAGTCTCTTATACAATAACTTGAGCAAGTGGTTTTTTACAGGGCAAAATGAATATTAAGTAGTTTCTTACAATCTTTGCAGCTGATAATTTTCCCCAATACTATACATTATATTCTGAACAAGCATGTCCCTTTAGAAATATTAATGTTCACCTTGCTGGTTTTAATCTCCAAAAATGTGAAATTATGCTGTAGAAGTTGTATCGATGTGAAAAATTCTGCATTCTCCCAAATGTGTCATCATTAGGTAAAAATTCATCTAGGCAAAATAGTATTTATGCTTTCATTTTATTGTTTTTAAGAATTAAACTGCCACCTCAGTAGTCTTTTAAGAGCAATATAATGAAACATACATACATTTAATTTAGACTTATGTCCATCATAGCTTCAAAGGCTTCCCTGAAATAAGGCTGGGATTCACATCTTTTTCCTTAAGGAAAGAAACACTAACAATAATTTTGTTATCCTTCTACCCACCCACCCTCATTCAAACAATAACTGGATGAATTCAAGTCTAACACCATTTTTTAAAAAAACTGTCTGCTACAACACATTCATCTGAACTGCCTCCCTGCATAACACATATTTCTTAAACCTAACCAAAAAATTTTAAAGCCTACGAGACTTAACATGTGGAATTTTACCGTGATAACATTTTTTGTTCAATACATTCAATTCTAGTGAATTTCATTTAAATCAGGTGAGCTCTTCATAAATAGCTGAGAAGCTTTAAAGTGAGTTTTGTTATTTCCTATTACATGAAACCAAAATATTGGTACTGAATTTTCAATAATATTTTAACAGCTCCTAAAGAGGGCCATTAAAGGTAATCAAGTTTGCACCAGTCCAAGTACCTACAGTAATATGATAGACACACTCACCACCATTTCACACTATTTCACTCCTATGCATCTAATAACCATTTCTCATTAGAAACACCGAATTAACACTGAACTCTCAAATTGCTATGTGTGAAAAATCATGTACTTTCACTTAAAAAAAAAGTGTATTATTTTCAGCTGGTCATGGTTGAAAGGGCCATTTATATTATTTCAGCTCTAAATTTATAGATGACTTTGTATCAGATTATCCAAAGTGAGAAACTGCTTTGCCTGTTCCTGACAGAATTAAATGGTAAATTAGCCATCAGTTCACCTCTTGTCAAAAAGAAATGTTCTAAAATTTATACACTACAAACTATTTAATAATAAATGGTATCTGTATACTACACATTTCATGTTTATGTTATGCACCATTTTAGGGGGGAGGAAGTACTTCACAGGGGTGTATTCAAAGGATATATAGTAATATCCTAAGAATGTTGATTTATACATATGAATTCTGTATAATCTGTAAGTGGTCATCTTAGCTGGACTGTAACAAGCCCCTATAATGCAAAAGCTGACTCTGAAGGCACCTTATAATGCACTGAAATTCACAATTTAGACATTACTTTTCTCTTCAATACAAAATCATCTGGTAGTCTTCACTGTTGACTCTATGCTAAAAAAACGTTCCAAGTTTTAGACTGCTTAACCAATAAAAGAAACAGGAAGTCAGTAATAGTTTTTAAATGTCAAGTTAGAGAAAAACACCTTATCATACAGTAATGAAACCTGAGCAACGCAAGTATGTGATTACAAGAACATCCTTCATTAATACAGTATTCAAATTCCTCCATGGCATTCAAATTATACTTTAAAACCCAATAAACAAGAAACCACTTAAGCACAGGATCAAATTCTACCATGAAATGAGGAATTACATAAAGCCTATTCAACCCTAAATATTTAGTTTCAGACAATGAGCAGAGAGGAACACACTTCATCTAAAGAATACCACTGATACAGTTCTATAAAATGTTACTTAAGGTTAATAAGTGTGATGCATCATGTGACTCCAACCATTCAGTAAAAAGCATTAATGAGTAACAGCATCCCCAACAGCTTGGAGCCTATAGAGTTGATTACTTTGGCCCTATCTTTCCAAAAATACAAGCAATGCCTCTTAACATTACAGACATAAATATTTTTAGACTGGAATTTCAATGTATTTTGGTGCTCCTGAGGCTGCCTATAAATGAAAAGGCATCCAAGTGAAGTGCATTATATACCTAATATACCTCAAAATTTCAGTGCCTAAAATGTGAAATAATTTTCTACCATTTAACAGTCTGCCTTACAGTAAATTCTATTAGATTTTTACTTTTAGGATTTTATTGTAACTTTGGGAAATTAGTGGTAAAACATATGGTTTAAAAAACAGTATGTGGCTGCACTTAAGTTCACATAAAAAGAGCATTTTACAACCATATTGAAATTTAATCCTTTTACACAGGTTAACAAAATGTATCACAAGAAAAACTTAAACATTGGGTTTAACAAAAGACGTACTTTTGAAAGTGGAACGATGGAAAAATGTTTTCAATTTTTTTTTTTTTTTTACAAATGGTCACCTCTGGGTCAATTTACCACACTAGGGGAACAAAGTTCTTAAAATATAGCCGTGCTCAACCGAGCCACTTCACTGCGCTACAGTATAGTACTTGAAATCAATCCTAAGGTCAAGGTTTAAAACCATTTTAGGAGACAAGACCCTAAGTGTTGTACAGCCACCTCAGCAAGAGGTGCTTTTCCTTCCCCGAACAGTCAAAGCTTAAAGAAAAGATTGACTATACGTATAAGTTTTGTTTCCTCATCATATCATCAGTTCAGAATACTATTATCATTGGTAATACGGTCTGTATCTTGTCTGATCTGGATGATGTGGTCCAGGTAGTGGGGTTTGAGAAGGCGGACCCTGCATTCGTGGAGGAGGAGGTGGCCCTCTCGGCGCAGGCCATATACCAGGACTCATTCCCCCTGGCTGTGTAAATGGAGGGCTCAGAGTTCCTTGATCTTCAGTGAACTGGGGTAAAGAGTTGGGGTTGTAATGGTGAGGAGGGGGTGCAGTTACAGGTGGACCACCATGCTGAGGTGGGGGAGGTCCTGGAGGAGGATGATTCATATAAGGTGGCATCTGGGCAATAATATGTCCAGGGGGAGGGGTAATTGGTGGTGGAGCAGAGGTCATTGGTGGAGGTGGAGCCTGGCTGTACACCAAGTGAGGAGTGCCTGCAGCCTGGGGAGGATGTGGCATTGGATGGCTTATTGGTGGTGGAGGAGGTGGGGGTGGTGCATAATGTTGCTGTGGAGGCATAATATGATGAGGGTGCGAGACCACTGGTTGACCCTGATATTCAGGATGATGGTGAGCAGGTGCGGGGGCAGGAGGTGGTGGTTCTCTAGCACCTGGATTTGAGTCATCCTGAATAGGGACAGTTATTAAATTGCTGTGTTTTCTTGTTGAAATGCGAAAGGTTTCCTGACTGACTGAGCGAGGTGGAGGTGGAGCCATGGACAATTCAGCTGGAGGAGCACGAATATCCTCATGTGGCTGATTATAGTGCTCGTGGGGCACATGTTGCAAAGGAGGAGGTGGCATCATGATGTGCTGCTTTGGCGGAATATGGCTCATATGGTGCTTGTCTGGCGGCATGATAAAACGATCGGGGATTTCAGCTGGTGGTGGGGCAATAGGAGGAGGATGAACATTTTCAAGTGAAGCCCGGGTAACAGGTTTTCCAGCTCTCATATGGCGGTGGTTGATATGAGCCTGTAAGTCTCTCTGAGACAAGTATGTTCTCTTGCACCCTTGAACAATGCTACACATGAAGAGAGAACCTCGTGTACACTGCTCAATTCGTTGCACAGGATCACTACAGCTAAATTAGAAGGGGAAAAAAGTTTGATTTACTAAAAACAGACTATAAAAATAATGCACTAAATTTCAAAGATGACTAGTTTTAAATTTTATTATGGAAAACACTGTAAAAAGTTCACAATTAAAAGTTATAGTTAATGTAAGTGAACCTTTAATCTTTTCCACTTTGTGGTCTGTTTGCTATTAAGCATCAGCATTTCTGTCAACATCAAAACTCTTAAGAAAAAAATTTAAACTGTTTATCAGAGTATGTTTGAAGCAAAGACCTTTTCTTACCAAGATATAGAATTTATCTGATTTCACAAACAATTCTATATTTTGCAACCCAAACAATTCTACATTTTGCATCCGTGTGCAAAACCCGCCCAAAATCCAGGAAGGGTAAACCAAAGGATCTGTCAGGATCAGAGAATGCAAGCTTGTAGAGTATTTATTGACTAGTAAGCAATTTTCTGAGCAAATAATACTAAGTAGAAGATACTAAGTGAAAGGTGTTGTAAGAACTACAAAAATAAACAGCATCATCCTAATCATCAAGGTTCTTAATATTAAACAATATTTTAAATTCAAACCATGAATGCCAAGAGTCCTTTCAAGGAGGGGGTCTTCCTGAAATGTCAGACAAATTTACTACTACAAAGTATTACACACTCCTATTTTTCTAAATTAAAAACACTAAATTTAACTCAATTATTTTCTGAATGAGTCAGGATCAAATTGTAACTATTCTCCTTCATTCACTGTTTTTTAATCCACTTTTGCCTTTAGAAGGCTTCTTGAAACAGTAGAAAGAAGACTGAACTAGGAATTGGAACTGGGATCTAGTATTGGCTCTGAGATCTTGAAGAAGTCATTTAAACTTTCTTTATCTGTAAAATGGGTTATAACATCTAACCTAACTCATAATGTTTTTATACACACTTCACCCTACTTAAAAGAACATTTGAAACATCAATGAAACAGTGAAAATGACAGGACTTAATGAGTAGTTAAGCACTAAACATGTATAAGCTATCATCATTGAATATGTGGGTCAGGTCATATGCCCTGTATCAAATGGCTCCATATTCTTGATTTTGAGTGGTGGCTGGTGTTCCTTCCTCACTGTAGGCTGGTACTACTTCTTCATACTTAGGAGGCTTCCCTTTAGTGGCCATTTGGCACACTTCTCATTTTTTGCTTCTAATTTGCTGTAAACTCTGAAATAGTTCCACAGTAACAGGATGGCAGGGGGAGAACATTTCTTTGGGTGATGCTTAAGCATTAGTATATAATATTTACATTAATTTGGATTGTCATTTCTTCACTTGCTGATCCAGCTCTATTAATCCAGATAAGCTTATGTTTTAATATACCTAACAGCCAACCAGTGATATACTTACTGAAGTTACACTGAAAAACTTGAAAACTAAATTCCCTTTTATATGCTAAGAGAAGAATTAGTTTTTACTGGTTTGTTAATTCATTCTCTCCCACAGATGCCAATCTTCCTACACCATAAAAGAAAATTATTCCTTACAACTGTCCACAATTTTGTTATCAACTAATACTACAACCCTTGGGATAGGTTCTAACTTAGGTTATAAGTAACGCAGAAAGCATACAGTTGGAAAGAAGTTTCTCTCAAAGTTTTTCTTAAATCTTCTATCAGGGGTTCTGAATTGATATAAGTCATAGTTTATTCTGGATCCTTTAAGACCATCCCCAAATAGATCACTATCAATCAACACCTCCCGATGGTCTTAACTTGTCTGAGCCTGTCTTAGACCATGAAGTTGTTCTAAGATGTACTCAAGACATAATCAGATTTGAAGGCAATAAGTAAGAGTTTATACTTACATAGTACTTGCTATCTGCTACTCATTTACTTCTAATAACAAGCCAGGGAGGTAAGTACTATTATTAGCTCCATTTTACAGATAAAGAAATCGCCTATGTGACATAGCTAATAAATCACAAAATAGAGATTTGAATCCAGGAATTCTAATTCCAGAGTCTTTGCTCTAAATCACTACATGACACTACCTCTCTAGCATCCCATTAAAATAAGAAAATATTTTTGGATTATAATGGTAACTTTGTGATGTATTTATTATTGTTATTTTGGCCAATGTGAATTAACTGATAATAGCTAATTAGCCCCATCCTAAGGAGAAGGTCACAGTCAACTCTAGGCTCACAGATAAACATTAGTCAGGTCTACACACTTGCCATCTTGCCAATGGTCTATATCATATTGTCACCTTTAACCTAGATTATAAATCATTATATCACAATCCTTAAAAATTTAAGGATGATCTTACCCTGGACACATCTTATCTCCCTTTTTTTCATGTAAAATAGCACAGTCATAGCAAAAAACATGCTTGCATGGAATCTGTGAACAGAAACATGTTACAGTTAAGTATTCTAGAACAAATTAAAATACTTCTATAAAAAGCAACAGTAAGCACAGTGACCTAGACATAGAAGGCACCTGAGAACTGTTTGTTAAAATGAACATTTATTAAGTACTGATTACATAAAAACAACAGTTAACCTTTTTCAGTCACAAAGCTCTTTGTGAGAATGCAATGAAAACTTTGGCCCTTTCCCCCCAAAAAACATACACATGCACATTCATGGTCCCTACAGGTTAAAAGCTCCTGAAGAATACTGTACAATGTTTTATCTAGTCCTGTTATCTTCAGAAAGTATTTCATGGCAGTGAAAGAACAAGTATCTTCTACACTTAATACAAGTAGCCTTCTTCCCTGGTAGTCTTAAGTTAATGAACTTACAAATATTTAAAAATAAATCAGAGGACACAGTAAAGTAATGCTACACTATTTTAAAACTCACAATTCATTACTGTTTAGTTATGCCACACAGCAAAGCAACAGTGCAGAATCCATGGCTTCTACCACAGATCAAACACTGAATTCAATTTTTTTCCAACCAAGATGTAAAACTATCTATTTATATATCAAAATTACTATAAAATTACAGTTAGCGCTGTATTTTAAGTGCTTAGAATTCAGTTCTCAGAAATCATAAATAATATTTAATTCAGTTTTATATTAAAAATTTTAGCCTTTAGAAATAACTGATTTTATTCTGTTAAAGAAAAATAATTTTTTTCCTTAAGGATCAAACCATCCAAAGAAATTAGTTTTCACAATTAGTTTCCTTAATTAATATTTTACAAGCAATCCAAGAATCTGTCAAGATAATTTTATTAAATGCATATTATCCCCAAACTTTCCTTAGCTATTTTATACTTATTTGTTATAAACTTTATTGTTAAACAATAATAAATCTATCTACTTAAATTTCAGAGTCCTCATCTCTACACAAATATATAAATTTATAAAAACAGAATTTAACTTAGTTATACTTACCATTCGCCCATAAATTTTAATAGGTAATCCACATTTGTCACAGAAATGAACTGGAGTATCATCCTTTTCACCTAAGATGTTTATCTGTTGAAAAGATATAATTAAAATTTCCTTAAGCATTTCTAAAAATTGTTTATAAATTACACAATGAATTAGTTAGTATAAAAGTTAACCAAAACAATTAGAAATGAAGGTCTCTTGATATAATTCCCACATATGCCACATTATTTGAGCCACCATCAGTTTTGGGGCTTTTCCCCCTTTGACAGTGTTATTACTTATTGATTTTACTTGATGTCACTGAAAATTACTTCAGATTATTTTTGGAAACAGTGAAATAGGGCATTACAAATGATTTATGGGTACTGAAAGATATAATTATAATAAAAGTTCACACTATTCTTTATGCAATCTAAATTGTCCTAATAAAGTATTTAAAATATCTTATTGTTCTAATAATTTTATTTTTAGTTATACCTGAAAGTCCCAAAAAAGGTGTCCAGGAAATCTTCGTTGATTTCCAAACAGTTCACCCCCTTTACAGTCATACCGTTCCTCTTCATTATAATCAAATCCTTCTGAGAAAACAAAATGTTACCTATTAACTTTTCACATCTCAAATTTCATTTTGGAAATACAGGTACATAGACCTGTATTTCTATTATGTACATGGACAAAATAGACCAGTTCACTGACACCTTTCAAAGCTCCTCTAAGAACAGTATAATCTAGTCTTACTAAACAGCTGCCAGAAATGATCCTGGGACCCATGTAGTCCAATTCTCATGCCTGAGAATACTGCAATATTGGAGACCATAACAATACACAGAGGTTGAGCTAGGAAGGGATCTCTGATCTCTTCACTCCTATTCAAGAGCTCATATTAACCCACCAGACCATTCTGGTATAAAACTACTAATAATTATCATCATGATTATTACACAAAAGATACTGATTGTCATTTATTCTGATCATGGTATAAAAGTGGTATTAACATTGTAACTGGTATTAGTGCCAAAGGATTAACAAAGAATTCTGCAGGCTTTCTTCTTATGACTTAGAAAATTAGGTAACCTCTTCTTCAGCTTTAAACTGAATCTGACTTTAGAAACCTCAACATACTTATACCTCAACATTTCAATTAAAACCTTTCCCTGATTATTCACCCAAACAGCAAAATTTATATCATATCTACAAGTCTCCTCCCCTACACTGTACGTATCAATATCAATAAACTTCAAGATGAAGATCAAATGGGCTCAATTTCTCTGACCTGATTAAAAAGTTGATGGCAATCCTCTCATCTTATACAAAAGAAAAGAAAATCAGTGAACAGTTTGATAGGGATTCTAAGTAGAATCCAATTACCTAAGGTAAAGCTGAGAAGACAAATCTATCCCTCCAATATGCCAGGCTTCTCAGGACTTTTGGCCCTAGAACTGGTTAACATCTGCAGACAGACACACAGGCACAGATACAATAATTTCTTGAAGCTGATACTGATACACTGGTGTACTGCTTATCTAATTACCTGCAACACAAACATAGAGTTCTTCTAAGTTTTATCTGAGTGACCCTAGGCTCTTAGTCGGCCCATTTATGCCTTATAAAAGCTGCTGTCACCGAAAACTCAAAATAAGGAAAGTTAATTTTTCTACTTATCTAAAACTCAGAAAATTATTGAGCAGAACAAGAGCCAAGAAAATCATGAGCACATTATCATTATCCAGAATGGTTCAGCCTATCCTCCCATCATTAAACTATACATATATCTGTAGAGATAACAAAGCAGCAGCTACTGCTCCATCAATAACCTAGGGTACTCTGTCTTTGGCCTTTCTAGTTTTAAAATAATTTTTTAAAACTATACAGTAATGTATAAATAAATTATTGTTTAACAGTAAAACAATGCAAAAAAGCTAAAATCCCCTTTCTAGCCCTTTCCTCTCAGATATCTCTTTATCCCCTCCCACTTCCACTTTTAACAACCAAATATACATCCATAAAAGTTCCAAAGCAGCGATCAGCAAACTTTATCTGCCTAAAGACCAATTAAGTAAATACTGCCATACCTGCAATTACTCAACTATGCCAATATAGTGTGAAAGCAGCCATGTGTTGTGTGCCCTAAGCTCAGTCATGTCCAACTCCCTGTGACCCTATGGACTATATACAGCCCACCTGGCTCCTCTGTTCATGGGATTTTCCAAGCAAGAACACTGGAACAGGTTGCCATATTCTATTCCAGGGGATCTTCCCAACCTAGGCATCGAACCTGAGTCTCCTGCATTGGCAGGTGGCTTCTTTACCAATGACCCACCTGGGAAGCCCGAAAACAGCCAGACAATACTTAAAAGAATGGGCATGCATGTGTTCCAATACAACTTGATTGATAAAAAACAGCACTGGATTTGGCCCATAGGCCATAAAAACTGTTTTATACTCACGAAATGGCGAAAGGCCTTTCTAAGGATGACATAAAACTCAGAAGTTCAGTAGAAAACACTGAATGTCTGACTACAAAGAATTGACAAGCTTCTCTACAATAAAAATTTTATACATAAAATTCAAAAGACAAATAGGGAATATACACAACATATAACAAAAGCCAATTTTGTTAATCAACAAAGAACTCATAAAAATCAAGAGAAAGACAATCAAACAGGAAAAAAATGGGAAAAAGATATGAACAGATAGAGCCTAGAAAAAAGAAATGACCAATACTATGAAAACATACAGCACTGCTCATAAATTAAAGAAATGTGTATCAGTACAAAAATCCTATCCTTTACGGAAAGGATAATAGTACCAATATTGGTGTGGGAGTATAAAATGATGTACCATTTTTTAAGAACCATTTGACAACATCTATTAAATTCTAAAATGCATAAATTCTAAATGCACCAAGTTCTAAAATGCCCAAATTCATGCAAAATTTAAATTTCAAAATATACATACTAATGTGTGTATTCTACAAAATATACATACTAAATAAATAAGGACATTTACTGCAAAACTGTCTTTAACAGCAAAATGTTTTTTAAAAATTGTTAAAATAAATTATGGTATATCCATAAGTGAAATACCTAAACCCATTTTCTTAAATAAGATACATCTGAATCTACTGAGAAAGCAGAGCTCACATGCATCTTACAAAATAAAAGGGGGCAGTTATAAAGCAACTATGAAAAAGTCATACCAGGATTTGAGGGGAGAATAAAAATGGGAGGAGGGCAATTTTACGTTAGTATTACGTTTTCTGCGATACTGTTTAGATTTTTCTAAACAATAGTGTTACTTTCAACAACAAAAGAAAATAAATAAAAAATATTTATAAAGGGAAAGTAAAATATGCCAAAATGAGAAGTCAAAAGACTGAAGAAGAGAATATTTAAGATAAAAAAAGAGGTGGCTAAAAGTAAATAAAATCACACTGCTTATTTGGTGGAATCAGATGTAAAAGAAAGACTTTTGGACCTGTTAAACACATTACCTTCATCACCAGCTGGAGCCTTTGCAGGCATCCTGTTTATAGTCCGTGGAGTTCGAGGTGAAGCTTTGGCTTTGTTCCCTTGTTTGGAGATGAGCTTTATAGGAATTCGTCTTCGAACATCAAGACCACCCAACGATCCAGAACTATTAGTGCCTTGTAACTCATTGTCTATGTTAGGAAAAAAAGTTGTAATTTCTTTTAGGTTTTCTTTTTGAAGGTTATTCTGCCACAGGCATTAAAGCAATATACCCAACATTGTGAAGGGCTGAGTATATGATTTTAAATACTATGCTATGTAAGTTCAAGTACTAATTTTCTCTATTTTGGATAAACTCTTAAAGCAATGCTTTTAAAGACATGGAGCCCTTTAAAAAGTTGACAAAAGTTATAGAACCTCTCCCTAAGAGGCTGGACAATAAGTTTTCCATGTAATTCCGGAGTGGTTTATAGAAACATAAAATCCTTCTGTGTAACAACTCTAAGATTTTTTTTTTAAAGAAGGAAAAAAAGGTAAAGAAAGAACAGCAAAAAGAAAGAAAATCATCATTTCAATCAAGCATGCAAAGTAGGCACTCAATGAATTTAGTAATCTGCATCTACATCAGGGCAATCAAGAATATTGGAAACGCAAAACTAACACTGACAATGGTAGAATTAAATAAATAATGCCCTGAAAATGAAGTTAGTTTTAGGGATGTGATTATCCTCTTCGGTGTAAAACAGTTTTTCTAAAAAGCATTCAGGAATATAGTAAAAATTACCACACTATTTAGCAGTAAACACACACATTAATATACTAGAACATTTCTAGATGTACAGGTGACTGCATTATTCTTAGTCAGCACTGTAATGGTAAATTATAGGTGAGGAGGATGCAAGATTTCTGTACTTCCAACTAGGCCTAAATAACTGACACTTTCTATGTCTCTGTTATTAGCTTATGAAATAAATTTACTCATATACTATGAGTAATACAAGCATTATTTCATAGAACTGACTCTATTTTAAGATTAAAAGCCACCTTTTTTCAAGTCCATGATGACACAGTACAATCTAGAAAATATTTACCTTTATCTGCTAAAAACAGAAAAGGAAATGCCCTAAAGTAGGAAATGCAAATAATTTAAAATAGCAACATTTTAAAGATGATAATTAGTGAGCAACACTGTGTAACTGCCACTGCAGGAGACAGCACAATCAGAGACATAACCAAACTATCCACATTAAATTCACTAAAGTCAAATTTGGAAGTAGTATCCTACCCAGCAGTAATGATCTCCAAGGATACTAGAATTACACATCGATTTGCACTCTTTCTCAATAATACACAGAACAAAATTCAAAATCGGTCCTTAGCTATTAATTTAAATATCTTTCAGTCTGCTTTCTATTATTATTTTCATAACAGCTAATCTGCAAAAAAAAAAAAACCCATGAGAATGGGAATACATCGACAGTTAAAAGTCTTAAACTAGGATAAATCTATCTTGATTTAACTCTCAATGCTTCACAAAATGTATCAACAATCAGATAATGCTTTCATCTGCTTTCACTCTAGCTGCTTATTTAGTTGCTAAATATCTACAAGCAATGAAGCAACAAAGATAATGTATTTCATCTGCTTTGACTCTAGCTGTTTAAAATACCTACAAACAATGTAATAGCAAAAAGGTATGACAGAATGATTTTTTTTTTTGCTTAGAAGGTATTCCTGACTTTTCAATAAATTAAAAACTGAATTAAAAAAATAGCAAGTTATGACAGTTCAATGACGTCTTTCTGACAGTAAAAGGACTCTGAACAGTTTTACCTTGGTGAACATTTCATTACTACAAGCCCTTTTCACACTAGCCTAGACACCTGAGGTCACGATTATGACTTTCAAGAGCCTGCTGCCCTCTAACTCCTGCCTCAGACTCCAAATACAAAGCACAGCTTTAATAGTGACATAACTCTGGGTTTATCTTGGGGCTTGGGGGGGTTTATTAAGAGTCAAAATATACAGCACAATTTCCTTTTGAATATCACAACTAAAAACCCTAAAGGCCTAACAACGAAAGTCCTTGGATATTATAGAAAGTGAGAATTAAGGATGTAACTGCCCATATGAAGTGAAATCCACTGTAAAAGGCCTAATATGGAATATTGTATTACATAGGTTTTAAAAAGATTTGTGCAGAATTTTATCTTGAATTAAAGGAATCAAGAAATATTTTTACAAAATTTAGGTTACAGTTACAACTAAGTGCTAATTTTTAGAATGGCCAAAGACTCAATCAAGTATTAGGAGTTTCTTGGAGTAATTTTCTATTACAATACTACAGGATAGCCTTCATTTTATGACTGACAATTTCAGCACGTTCACAAAACCAGTCATTTTTGCATAACAATCAAGCGTTCCATCAATTTCCCCACGGGCCTCTTTTAATCCTTTGATATTAGAATTTTCCTTTTGAGATGCCTATCCTGACCTAATGTCTTCAATTTATTGGCTATCTGGCACATCCTCATTTCCCAATGATTTTATTTGTGATTCAAACAATTACCAAATTCACATTTATGAATATGATGAAAACTTGAATATTGTGTAAGGTTTGTAATCACAATCAGTGTACAACATTTGATACCATTTTCTGACATGAAACTGGTAAGGACACTGCCTTATAAGGAAATTTTAAAAAAAAAGAAAAAGAAAAGAGGCTCGTGTTAAGTATCTGGGATATCTGAGTAGGAACTATTTTTTCAAGTGGTCAGTTCATTAGTGAATATTTCCATGTTAGGATGACTTTTACTTTCTTAGGCAAAATTTTAACTTAGAAAACTAGGATAATAAATACTCAGATACACACCAACCCACATTACAATTTCCTAACGTAACATCCTTAAACTGTGAAAAGTGCTTGACTCCCAATTCCAGTAACTGGCTCAAATGAGAAATATTTCACTAATGTGGCACGTTTGCTTCTCTAACACCAAGATTTCATGGTTTAAATTCTATAAAACTTCCAAACACTAGAGTTCCCTACTGCTAGGCCCTCTGCTCTGTTTTCCCTTTAAGTGATCTCATCCATCCTCATGCCTTAAAATCATTATATGGTACCAAGTCCCAAACAAATTGCCCTATGATTTCCACTTGACAACTCCCCTTCTATGTCCCAACAAACACCTCACACTTAGCAGTCCAAAGTCTTGTTGCCAAATTCCCATTTGTCACCTCTACTCCATTTTTTTTTTTTAAAGGTATTTTTCTCCCAAGTCTTCCAATAAAGGACACCACTCAAACTAGAACCCTACACACCTTTCCTTTCTCTCACATGCCTCCAAACCAATCCACCAGGGCCTGAGTTCTACCAGCAAAAGATTCACTGAATCTGCCCATTCCTGTTTTTACTAAACCAAGCTTCTTTTCTGGTCTAGTGCAATCACTTCCTAAATTTTCTATTTATCTTGCCTCCCTCTCTTACACCATTCTTCATACAACAACCTATTATACTTTAAAAAGAGACTATGTTCCTCCTCCACTTCTGTTCAATGGCTTCATATTGCACTTAAAATAATACTCAAATCTTTACCATGGACTTCAAAGTCTTGCACCACCCAACTCCTGCCTTCCTTACCAATTTATCTTAGGGCTCTTTCCCTCTACCTAAGTGCAGCTGATTGGTTTTCTCTATATTTTCCTCCCTCAGTCTTAGTACGTGCTATAAATGCTCTCCACGTGATTTATGCCAAGCTGGATTCTTCTCATCCATCAGATCACAGCTTACAAATGTTACTTTCCTAAAAACACTCTTCCTGACCACCCTCTCTGAAGCTTCCACCTTCCACAGCCCCATATGTCTTCTTCAAAGCCCTCATAATAATCTGTATTTCTAAAAACTTGTTCTTTATGGTTTTCCCAATAGAACGTAACTTCCATGAGGACAGGGACTCAGTTCATCTTGTTTACCATTCCACCTCCAAGCCTAGGAGAGTATGTGTATATACATACGTGTGTGTGTGTGTGTGTGTATATATATATATATATGAAGTTAAGTAAACAGTTGATGACTGAGGAATCCTAACTAATACTTGATACTGGAGAAAGCCTTTTATCACCCTACTAGTAACACGGCTGATACAACTGAACGGAGCAGTATCCAACTCCAAATGCACTCATTCAACAGCCAAAAACTGCAAGGAAGCAAAAGACAAAAAAACACTTAAGAAAGAGTGGAGCCATTCTTACTTGGAGAAAGTAATGAGAATATCTTGATTTTAACCTCAAGACTGATGGTTAAGGACCACAGCTGAAGCGCGGGGCATGCTATAGGCTTAAGCAGAAAAGTTGCTCCCAGTATCATTCCAAAACCCATATCTGACTCCCTTCTCCCACCTCTAGTCCAAGAAAGATCGGAGAGACAACAACGACAGGCAGTGACCAATGCAGCACCCGCCCAAAGCTGACTGAAACAGCAGGAAGTCTCTAACCCACTGTAGCACATCGACTCCCAGCGTAATGAGACTTCCCAGACTTTCTACCCGCCAGTCCCCATAACATAGGGCAGAGCGCCCAAAATGAGGGAAAAAACTGCCGGCGCTCTCTCCTCTCCGCGAAGCCCGCGCTTCCCGCGGTGCCGGCTCCGGGCACAGAAGGAGCTGCCGTTGCCGGCACGGAGGCTGTAGGTACCACATCGGAGGGTAGGCCAGGAAGTAGCAGGCCCTGGCCGGACACGGGAAGGGGGTCTGTGAGATTCCTTCCTCGCCGCCACACCCCAGGGATGTAAGGCCAATGTAACCCCTCTATGTTCGCTGGGCGACTAGTCCCAGGCCGGCCAAGGGGGCATGGAACCTGGACCCCCACTGCCTCCGCCTCCTTACCAGTGTGATCCATGATTCGACTCGCAGGGCACAGTGGGAGCGGAAGTCAACCGCGCCGGAGTCGCAGGGAGCGCGTGCGCGGTACCTTCCGGAGCCCGGGAGGCGGAAGTGTGACCAGGTGGCCCAGGTTGGTGCCTCCAAAAGTTCCCTTCTCTTGCGTCCGCTAGCAGACTCCGGTGAGGGAGTCAGGCTCAGTTCGGCGCAGATAGAGAAAAAGCGAGTATGCGGGGAGCGTCAGTGTAGAGGCTACTAAGGGTTCCTCTCATCTGCTTCCAGAGGAAGTAGCCTTTTAATACGGAGAGGACACTGACGGGAACGGGGGAGGGGAAGAGCCGGTAGAAACCGGAGGACTAAGCTCGCGGCAGGTAAGGCGGCCGCCGCGCCCCCCGGCACACCCCAACTCCGCGCGGAGCTTTGCCTTCTGGGACTTGTAGTGCGCCGGGACCCTGGTGCCGACCTAGCCCAACTGCGCAGGCTCAGCCGTTGGGCTGTCCCCACCCCGGCGGGCGGTAACGGTTTGGAATCCCCCAGAGTCCGCGAGCGACGTTCTCCGGCACCCCCGGTCCAGGAAGAGTGTAAACACGCGCGCTCCGGAAAGCGTCCTCCAGCGGGAGGTTGCCTAGGGGATGGTTGAGCTGTGTAAGACTCCCAGCTAGAGAGAAAAGCTCTGTGCCTGTTTGTCTACATTTTGCTTTGTCGTGATGAGCTGCACAGACCCACGCAGAGCTGACTTGGGTATCTACCCCGGTTCCCACCTCTCAAGTTGCTAACAGTTGAAACCCATTTCTAACGCTTGATTAGCATTCATTTTCTAGAGAAACCTCCCCCTCCCCCTCGAACACCTGTCCTAAGGACGGTACGCCGGGCAAGGTGGAGGACGGATGCAGCGCAGCCGCCTCTTACAAAGGTCAGCGGGGACTCCAGTGCGGAGTAGAGCTGAGGATGGGGAGAGAACGTTAGGGCTGGCCGCGAGGGAGCCGTGAAAAAGCGGAAAGGCCTAAAATGAAGAGACAAGTTACCGCCACGGGCAGTACCTAGTTCCAGTTCTTGGTCCCAAGGGTTGGTGGTTGCTGTAGCTTTCATCGTCCTCAGCCGAAACAGAAGACAAGTGCCAAGGAGTGATTCCTGAGGACCTTCCGGGCCGTCTCCACCTCGCGACCCTGGCGCATGTGTCCACTCCCTTCTCCAGCCCTTCACACTTGATGCTCTCGAATGAGTCGAAAGGAGCACAATTAGTGGAAAACACAGGCTGGGGAGTCAAGGGATTTGGGTTCTATTCTTGTCGTCCCTCGGTGACGACATCATTACCTTGTGTTATGCACGCTTTCAGTGCCAGAGTTCCTAGATCAATTGAAGATTATTGTGTCAACCTCTTAGAGAAGCGGTTTCATGGTGCTGAATTCGGAGTCAAGTATGTGTAGCGATGTGCTCTGTCTGTATAGTTAACCAGTGAGAGCTTGGAATAATATGATGAGTACCACTGTAAGTGTTCTGTGTTTTTTGGTGAATGTTTTGGTGGGATCTTTTAAGACTTACCTTTTGTGCAGCTTTATAAACAAGTTTTTAAGTGCGTTCACAACTAAGGACAATTGTGATTCAGAGTTAGTCCTGCTTTTGTTAAAATGTAAGTTTCTGTATCCCTAAGTGGTTTTCAAGATGTTTTCAATTGCTGGGCATTTTTTGTGTTTTGCAAATTGGGGGAAACAACCTTTCTTCCATACCTCCCTGTTTCTGTAAATACAATACTTTATATGAAAATCAAGCATTTTCCACCAATTTTGTGTATAAAAGTAGTTGTCACCTAGAAAGTGGTTTTTTTTTTTTCCCCCAATTTTTTCGATCCTCATATTTAGCCTGTCAACCATCCTTCAGACAAGGTCAGTTGCATTCACGGTGGTATGACTGTAGAGTCAGCCATACTTCAGATTGATGCAGATCCAGGTTCAGAGTAGTAATATTACTGTCTGCTGGTGCTAATATTTAGAGAATTAGAATTTTTAAAGAAGTCTTCAAACTGTGTTTTATGTAATTTAATATGTAAGTCAGAAGTTATGTCAGCATTTTATGGTGCATCAAGTTATGAAAATTTACTAAAAGGAAACTCACGTTTAGATTTCTTATTGCTAAAATGTTAGATAAACATTTAAATTATTTGATTTGACCTCATGCTTTTATGCATTGCTATAGCATCTGAGCTCTATATTCACTTTCCCCTTAACTATAGCCTCACTTTACTAGTACAGTGGCAATATGACAAATTAATTTCTTCCTCTAAATGATAAGAGAAACTGTATATAACATTTTATTACTGCCCTCTGGTATCCATTGTTGCTAACCTTTGTGCTGTAAGCAGTCACAGTTTTACTGAAAGTCAACATTTATACTTAATTTATAGCTTGGTACTGTCCTAAGGTTTATAAAAATGAAACATCAAAAAAAAAAAAAAAAGAAACATCATGGTTATGGACAATCAGAAGCACCAAGGTGTATATCATATTTTCATCTTATTGACAGACATCTGCTAGTCAGTGCTCTTCAAGGTGTTTTGAACCTTGCATTTAAATACATAGCACTGTTTACTTACAAAAAAATAGGATGGGTATCAGAGAGCTTGAGACTCTCAATACCAGATCAAGGGCAATAACTTTCATTTCTTTAATGCTTTTTTTTTTTTTTTTGCCCTCACCGCAGGTCTTATGGAATCTTAGTTCTGGAACCACATATCAAATCCTGCCCCCTGCAGTGGAAATGCCGTCTTAACCACTGGACTACCAGTGAGGTCCCTCCTTAATGCTCTTTTAATTGTAACACTGTAGTGCCTAAGACCGCAGAAGGAAAAAAACATATAAATAACAGTTCCTATATGGAGAACCATATAGCCTAGCATTTATAGAAATAATTAAAAACATGGAATTACATTCTGTGTCTTTGAGGAGAATGCAGTGCTACCTACATTCAGAGAAAATTATGAGCAGTAGAGCTGAGGGCAGTCAGGTAGACTGACTTTATCTTGATGAACAGGATAGCATTTGAAGGTGAGGAGAGAAATGAAAGAGGCACATCAAACCAGAAAGATCTAGGTCACAGATGTCATAGCTTCTATAGAGAATAGTGATCAGCTTCACTTTGGTCCATGTTTGGGAATACTGAAAAATAAGGTTTGATTATAGAGAACCTTGAAAAGAAGATTTCAGAGTAGCAGTTCAGAAAGAGCATATAAACAAAACCTAGCATGATATGTTTATGAAAACAATACAATTCAGCAAGGTAGATTCAGAAACAATGAGCAGATCTTAAGTGTGGGTAGGAGGAAGTCAATACTATTAACCTGTAAGAACAATTGACCAGAAAGCCTGAGACTCCCCGTGATGGCCAAAATGCCAGCAAGTGTGAGTGATCTGTTAATAAGAGAACTGATCAGAACAGTGTCCACTAAACGTGAACAAGTTTGATAAGTAGATATGAATAGGAAAGGTAGTGGACTATACTGATAGATATATGGACTTGGATGTTAAAAACTGGGTTCCAAGCCCAACACAGCTGTGAGACTTTAGGCAGATTACCTAATCTTGTGGCTGACTTCATTTATAAAGTGGGGATGGTAATAGTATCTACCTCTAGGACTACTTTGAGAATTAAATATTTTCTATCTAAAAGCATTTAGTACCTACTGGCATCCAGTAAGCCCTCATAAAGTGATAGTTTTTATTACCAGAGTAGTTACTATATTCATTGCTTCATGAGGTGATTAAGTGAGATAACAATATAGCACCTGGCTCATTATTAAATGAGTGTTAAATGTTAGCTGCAGTTTCATTATTGCCTATAAATTGGGATTGGAGATAGGTTTTGAAGATAGAGTCAGTAGGGCAGTTTTAGACCTCTTAGCATACTGATGCACACACCAAGCAAGCCTGATGTTTAGCCAAGGCTCTTTGACTTTTGTTTATTGGAGTAAATTGAGTGATCGGCTTTCAAGCGTCATTAGCAGACTTAACTAACTCCAGCCTCTCACAGTCCCAGCTTCCTTCTCTCCCTGCTGCTGCTGCTGCTAAGTCGCTTCAGTCGTGTCTGACTCTGTGCGACCCCATAGACGGCAGCCCACTAGGCCCCTCTGTCCCTGGGATTCTCCTGGCAAGAACACTGGAGTGGGTTGCCATTTCCTTCTCCAGTGCATGAAAGTGAAAAGTGAAAGTGAAGTCGCTCAGTCATGCCCGACTCCTAGCGACCCCATGGACTGCAGCCCACCAGGCCCCTCCGTCCATGGGATTTCCCAGACAAGAGTGGGGTGCTATTGCCTTCTTTGCCTCCTCTCCCTACCAGCTGCTGGAATGGCCCAAACATGCTACCACAGCTGAGCCTTATTAAGTGTGGCCCCCAGCTTTCCAAAAACTCGAAAATTGGGCAAGAGACAGATTTGGGGAATAAGAAGGAAGCAAGACCACAAGGACTGAACATTACTGATTGAAGGCACTTCCCCACTCTGTTCTTTGGAGCCTAGCGATGTATTTACCCCTTTGGATGGGAACGTTTGTTCTAGAGAACCTCTGCCGCCTTCCTTCTCTTCTGAGGACAGTTTGCAGTGGATATCCTTTCAGCTGATAGGCTTGCTCCTCCCAACTGCTCCTCCACTAAAAGATTTTTGTCTTGTTTTTTCTCTCCACGTCTCTGTTCAGCTCACACCTAAGAGACTGTTTAGTGGTTTTACACTACTCTGAGCAAACAGTGTATCATACTAGGGCATAAAACAGTTTTTTGACAGATTTAACACCCACCTGTCCCTCAGTTGAGAAAAATACTAGGCATGAATTTGTAGTTCTTACTCCCACCTTAAAACCTACCTACCCATCAAGGTTTCTGTTCATATGCCATTTTTCCCATCAAGGCTTCTCTGACTCATGCTTCCAATAGGTAATATATGTAGTAGAGAAAGAGCATGAGCTTTGGAATCAGGCAAAATGGGGTTCAAATCTCAATTCTTGCTGTGTGATATTGGAAGATTACTCAAGCTTAGTTTCTGTGTCAGTAAAATGGGGACAATAACATTCCTTGGAGAATTGGTCTGAAGATCATAAGAGATACATCTGTGAAGGCTTCTTCAGTTCAGTTCAGTTCAGTCGCTCAGCCATGTCCAACTCTGCAACCCCATGAACCACGGCACGCCAGGCCTTCCTGACTATCACCAGCTCCCGGAGTCCACCCAAACCCATGTCCATCGAGTCGGTGATGCCATCCAGCCATCTCATCCTCTGTCATTCCCTTCTCCTCCCACCCTCAATCTTTCCCAGCATCACAGTCTTTTCAAATGAGTCATCTCTTCGCATCAGGTGGCCAAAGTATTGGAGTTTCAGCTTCAACATTAGTCCTTCCAATGAACACCCAGGACTGATCTCCTTTAGGATGGACTGGTTGGATCTCCTTGCAGTCCAGGGGACTCTCAAGAGTCTTCTCCAACACCACAGTTCAAACGCATCAATTCTTCAGCACTCAGCTTTCTTTATATTCACATCCATACATGACTACTGGAAAAAACATAGCCTTGACTAAAAGAACTTCGTTGACAAAGTAATGCTCTGCTTTTTAATATGCTGTCTAGGCTGGTCATAACTTTTCTTCCAAGGAGTAAGCGTCTTTTAATTTCACCATCTGCAATCACCATCTGCAGCAATCTTGGAGCCCAGAAAAATAAAGTCAGCCACCGTTTCCGTTGTTTCCCCATCTATTTCCCATGAAGTGATGGGACCGGATACCGTGATCTTTGTTTTCTGAATGTTGAGCTTTAAGCCAACTTTTTCACTCTCCTCTTTCACTTTCGTCAAGAAGCTCTTTAGTTCTTAACTTTCTGGCATAAGGGTGGTGTCATCTGCATATCTGAGGTTATTGATATTTCTCCCGGCAATCTTGATTTCAGCTTCTGCTTCCTCCAGCCCAGGGTTTCTCATGGTGTACTCTGCATATAAGTTAAGTAAGCAGGGTGACAATATACAGCCTTGATGTACTCCTTTTCCTATTCGGAACCAGTCTGTTGTTCCATGTCCGGTTCTAACTGTTGCTTCCTGACCTGCATACAGGTTTCTCAAGAGACAGTTCATATGGTCTGGTGTTCCCATCTCTTTAAGCATTTTCCACAGTTTATTGTGATCCACACAGTCAAAGGCTTTGGCATAGTCAATAAAGCAGAAATAGATGTTTTTTTGGAACTCTCTTGCTTTTGTGATGATCCAGCGGATGTTGGCAATTTGATCTCTGGTTCCTCTGCCTTTTCTAAAACCAGCTTGAACATCTGGAAGTTCACGGTTCATGTATTGCTGAAGCCTGGCTTGGAGAATTTTAAGTATTACTTTACTAGCGTGTGAGATGAGTGCAATTGTGCAGTAGTTGGAGCATTCTTTGGGATTGCCTTTCTTTGCGATTGGAATGAAAACTGACCATTTCCAGTCCTGTGGCCACTGCTGAGTTTTCCAAATTTGCTGGCATATTGAGTGCAGCACTTTCACAGCATCATCTTTCAGGATTTGAAATAGCTCAACTGGAATTCCATCACCTCCACTAGCTTTGTTCCTAGTGATGCTTCTTAAGGCCCACTTGACTTCACATTGCAGTATGTCTGGCTCTAGGTGGGTGATCACACCATTGTGATTATCTGGGTCATGAAGATCTTTTTTGTATAGTTCTGTGTATTCTTGCCACCTCTTCTTAATATCTTCTTCTTCTGTTAGGTCCATACCATTTCTGTCCTTTATTGAGCCCATCTTTGCATGAAATGTTCCCTTGGTATCTCTAATTTTCTTGAAGAGATCTCTAGTCTTTCGCATTCTATTGTTTTCCTCTATTTCTTTGCACTGATCCCTGAGGAAGGCTTTCTTAGCTCTCCTTGCTATTCTTTGGAACTCTGCATCAAATGGGTATATCTTTCCTTTTCTCCTTTGCTTCTTACTGCTTGCGAATAACAGGCCCTCAATAAATGTTCATTTCCTTCATTCCTCTTGGTAATTACTGCTCTTTCAGATATACGTTTAAGACATCACTGTCTTAATTCCTATTTTAGAAACATATTTTATCCAAGTATGCCCCTAGAGGATAGCATCCATTAGTAGTTCATATTTGTATAATATACGGTATTTAGCAGAAGGCGCTCACAAAAATATTTGTTGACTTACTGAAGAATGCCATCAAAGATAATATGACCCTGTCAAAAAAAAATTTAAACTTTTGACCACAAATGGATGTGGCAAACAACTGGATAAAACCTTGCAATAAAAAAATAACTGCAATAGGATGGAAATGACCACTAGAATTATAAAGAATTAGTGACAATTTATTACACCAGTTTTCACAGTTCATTCAATAAAATGAGCAAAGAACATTTAATGCCAGAAGATAACAACCTATATCTGCCAACATGAAGAAACTCAAGCAGTACAGTAAGCCTGAAGTTTTCTTGAGTGAGAAAAAAATATATTAAATAGTAATGCATATATAATCTAGAAAAATGGCACAGTTAAACCTATTTGCAAAGCAAAAATAGAGATGTAGATATAGAGTACAAACATATAAACACCGGGGTTGGGGGCGGGGAATGAACTGTGAGATTGGGATTGACATATATATGCTATTGATACTGTGTATAAAATAGATAACACATGAGAAACCGGTGTATGGCACAGGGAACTCTACTGTGTGCTCTGTGGTGACCTGAGTGAGAAGGAAATCCAAAAAAGAGGGGCTATGTGTATTCATACAGCCGAGTCACTTTGCTTTAGAGCAGAAACTAACATAACATCGTTAGGCAGCTGCTGCTGCTGCTAAGTCACTTCAGTCGTGTCCGACTCTGCAACCCCGTAGACGGCAGCCCTCCACTATACTCCAATAAAAATTAAAAAACCAAAACTGTAGATGTGTGCTTGTTTAAACATATACATGTTTTGTTGTTGTTCAGTCGCTCAGTCATGTCTGACTCTCTGCAACCCTGTAGACTGCAGCACGCCAGGCTTCCCTGTCCTTCACTATCTCCCAGAGTTTGCTCAAACTCATGTCCATTGAGTCAGTGATGCCATCCAGCCATCTTATCCTCTGTCGTCCCCTTCTCCTGCCCTCAGTCTTTCCCAGCGTCTGGGTCTTTTTCCAGTGAGTCAGCTCTTCACATCAGGTGGCCAAAGTATTGGCGCTTCAGCTTCAGTATCAATCCTTCCAATGAATATTCAGGGTTAGTTTCCTTTAGGATTGACTGGTTTGATCTCCTTGCTGTTCAAGGGACTCTAAAGAGTCCACTCCAGCACCACAGTTCGAAAACATCAATTCTTTGGCACTCTGCCTTATTTATGGTCCAGCTCTCACATCTGTACATGACTACTGGAAAAACCATAGCTTTGATTATATGGACCTTTGTCAGCAAAGTGATGTCTCTGCTTTTTCATATGCTTGTCTGTGTTTGTCATAGTTTTCTTCCAAGGAGCAAGTGTCAAGTGTCTTTTAATTTCATGGCTGCTGTCACCATCTGCATTGATTTTGGAGCCCAAGAAAATAAAATCTGTCACTGTTTCCATTTTTCCCCATCTATTTGCCATAAAGTGTTGGGAATGGATGCCATGTTCTTAGTGTTTTGAATGTTGATTTTTAAGCCAGCTTTTCCACCTTTAATTGGTCCTAGCTGTATGTCAGTTGTCGCAGGAACCAGGGGAAATGCAGTACTGATGAAGCAAAGGCAGGGCAAGAAATGGATACACAGGCCTTGCATTGAATATAGGCTACTGTATTGTCTTTATGAAAGTATTGCTACTGATCTACTAGGTGTAGAGAGAGAGAGCTGTTCAGCTGTGTTAATAATTTCTGTATAAACTGATATTGATTCCCAAAATTTTGTCCTTGTATTTTTTTGTATTGTTGGAAAAGTTTTAGTTGAAATTTTAAAAAATTTGTCATCCGTATAGTTTGGTGAGCTGAATCATTAACGAACATAAGTTGAAAACTATGGTAAATTTAGGCAGAGTTCTAGAATTATGAACATACAGTGTTCTTTAGTATTATCACCATATCACAGTATGTTAACTTCTGCAGTTGATAAACCTTCTGATTCCACTCAGGTAAGAAGTTTAAATCTGAGGTCTATTAATTATCCACTGTATTTTTGTAACAGCGTTTCCCCTATTGGTCAATATTTCTGTACAGATCTCTAAGAGATAAAGTCACAATGCCATTATCATGCCTTAGTCTCTTGAGAAAGTCAGTGTCATGGGGGAAAAAAAGGGATAGGACTTTTCTAGACTTATAAGACTAAGGAACTATAATAACTAAATGCAATTCTTGCAGCTTCATTGGATCCAAACTCTGGAAAACAGCTACAAAAGATATTAGGGAAGTTTTAATATGGATTGACTGGAAGATGACATGAGGGAATTATTTTCTTTTTGGGGGGAGGGAATTATTTTCTTCAGAGTAATAATGGTATTCTGATTAGGAGATTCATGCTGTCATAGTTGGAGATTGACTATCATGTCAGCAAGGTACTTTAAACAAAATATATAGCTAATAGGCATAAAGTCATGTAGATAAAAATATAAGTTGGATAAATGCTCTGGAAAGACTCATTTGCAATAAAAAATAAATGTACACAAAAGAAATTAAATATCTGGTACTATGGACTGAATGTTTGCATCTTCTCGAAATTCATATATTGAAGCCCTAAACCCCAATGTGATGGGGCCTTTGGAAAGTAATTAGGATTAGATGAGGTCATGAGGTTGGGACCCTGATAATGGGATTAGTGCCCTTGTCAGAAGGAATCCACTCACCAATGCAAGAGCTGTCAGTCCCTGGGTTGGGAAGATTCTCTGGAACAGGAGATGGCACTTCACTCCAGTATTCTTGCCTGGAAAATTCCATGGGAAGAGAAGCCTAGTGGGCTACAGTCCATGGGGCCACAAAGAGTCAGACGTGACTGAGTGACTGAGCAAAGAAACAGCTGAGAATTTGTCCTCTCTCTATTCGTATGCACACCCCAAGGAAAGACCATGTAAGCAGACTGCAAGAAGGCAATGAGGTAGAGATCTCTCAGCAGAATCCACCCATGCTGGCACCGTCAGAGACCTCAGAGGTCCAGGCTCCAGAACTGTGGAGAAATAACTTTCTCTTGTTTAAGCCACCCCGTCTAGGTGTCCTGCTGTGGCGGCCCAAGCTGTCTGAGATTGAGCTTGGTACCGGTGAGTGGGCTGCTGCTGTCACAGATACCTACAGTTGTAAAAATGGGTGATTGGAAGAGGCTGGAAGAGTTTTGAGATGTGTACTAGGCACACAGACATTGAGAGGAAATGTAGAATATTATTGCAGAAACATGCTTACAGGAAAAGGCAGTCCTCATCATAAAATGGTAAAGAACCTGGCTGCACTGTAGTGCCTCGTGGAAGGTAGAACGGACGTTTAGCTAAGGAGATTTCTAAGCAAACCATTGAAGGGGCAGCTTGGTTCTTCCTGACTCATATAGTAAAATGCAAAAGGAAAGAACTGAATTGAAGAAGGAATTGTTAAGCAAATAAAGGAGCCTGAACTTG